AACCCTTTCACAAGCTTTCGCTTAACCAAAAATCAGAGTTAAAGGGCCGGTTCCATTACAAGACATTGACCTAATGCACTTCGCATGTTAAGTAGGATTTTTGGTTAGAAACTTGGTGGAATTTCTGATTATAAGAGTTGTCAAACCTGAAGACCCCCAGAGTTAAAGGGAGTCCAGAAACTTCCTCTCCAGAGCTTTTAGACACTATAGAACTGAGTGTATTCCAAAATTAGAAAATAATAACTGAAGGGCCTCAGATGGTAAACTGTTACAGCAGTCCGTTTTATCTGTAGGTGGCTGCCTCTGTTAATGTCATAGCAGAGATAAGTTTCTGTTGAAATGCCAAATCTATTTGTCCTTATTATCTATTATCAAGTTTATTTTGTAGCAATATTGAGTGCCAAATGGGAACCCTGTGCTTTCTGACCCATAGCTAACTTGCTCTTGAATAGAAAATAACTTTAGTCACAGGAGATGGGGTGCTGCAGGCTGTGAGTGTGTGTGACGGTGTATTTCCATGAACATGACAAGAATTTTCTTGACATCATGGTTCCCAAGCTATAAGCATCAAGTCTAGAGGTTACAGGGGAAATCGTTTGTCTGGAAAGAACAGAAGCATATTACCAGGGATTGGTGTCCATTTCTTCCTGAACTAGGATTTGAAATCCATTTGTAAGTAATGAGGAAGTAAATATTGATCATCTGTATACATCCTACTTCGCAAATGATATTTTAAAAATACACCTGCATTGGATTTCTCAAATTTCTACTTAGATTCATTGAACTTTTTCATTTCCATGGTATTACTATCACAATAACTACCTCTACTATCTCTGCTATTAAAATAATATCAAAAGTATCTGTCTTAGTCTGCTAGGGTGACCGTTTCACAGTTATTGTGGTGTGACCAACACAGTTATTGTCTCGAAGTTCTGGAGATTAGAGGTCAAAGATCAAGGTGCTGGCGTGCTGGAGTCCAGCTCCCAGCTTGCAGGAAGCCACCATCTCTTGCGTGCACACAGGACCTCTTTCTTGTGAGAATTCACAGATCGAGTCTGGATTCTCCCCTTATCAGGGTGCCAATCCCTTCATGCGATCCCCACCCTCAGGACCTCATCTGACCTGATTCCCAAAGGATCCATCTCTAAGTCCCATCCCATTGGGGGCGAGGAATCAACCTATGACTTTGAGAGGGACACAGGTCAGTCCACTCCAGCACCCACAGCACAGGAGTTTCAGATCAGATTGCTGAATATGCTTCTAACTTATATGCTTTCTGCAGCCCATCTTATTAAATCCTCAAATAGCTACATCCTAAGGCATGTTGACCTTAATTTCTAGATGCCGGAGTTAGATCTCAGAGAAGTTAAAATCTCAGTGAGACAAGACATTTAATAAATAACAGAATCTACACTGAAAATAAAATCATTCTGACTGAAAAGCTATATTCTTAGGCTCTACAATAGAATACCCTTATCAGCAAACACACATGTGTGATTGACATTAAAGATGGAGTGAAGTGGTATATCTTGTGCAAAATGAGTTCATGTTATATTGTGAAAAGAGTGAATTTAGGAGGAGAGTAAATTTGATGTAATTTTTTTCAGCTATGTATTGATAAATGTAAATAGCCATATTGATTAACAATATCCAAACCATTGTGAATTAGCAGAAGCTAAATTGTGTTCAACAGAATATTTAGGCAGTTTTGTCTATTGACATGTATATGTCTGTATACATATTACGATTCCCGTAATTATTGGAATTATTTGAAGTCTTTAGCATCATATTGATAGATGAATGATTTTTATAATATCTGTAAATGTCGATAATGGCCGTGGTCATGCTGAAGAGAGTGTCAGTTAGAGCGCTTTTTCGACCTTGTATTGTCTTTAGCAGCACCTCCTCTGTGAGAAACTGTGGCGGGAGCTTTGTCTGTTTCATTTCTTTTCATGGTCACAATAATCCTATAATACAGGCATGATTTTCCCCAAGCGAGGATGAGATACAAGCTCAGAAGTTCCAGCGACTTGCCCCCAATCTCATGGGAGAAGAGGAGCTGGAATTCCAAGTCCAATCTTTCCAGCTCCAGAGTCTGTTTTTGAGTGAGCATGAATATATTTTCAACTAAAAAAATGTATATGGTGCTCTAACTGCTCTGGATCTGAACATTTGGGAGAGTCACGTGTCATGAGGTGAAACAGGACATTGTGGCGCATCCCACCTACTCTAAATGGAAGGGCCTGCATGTCCCTGCATCAGCAGCATGTCTATAATTAAGGACCTTCTGTGCCCCAGCAGGTGGCCCTGTCTTCTTTCTTCCCCCTTCATTCTGCGAGGCACCCTTCTTTATTAGGGGAGACATTAAATCCTGTGTCTGCATTTGCACAGCCAGCTAGTGAGTTCTCATTATGGCCATCATGTCAACTGAGTCTGAGTCCACAGTGTTGGGGTCATGAGAAGACCCCATAGCTTGAGCAGGGCAATTGGAGATCCCTCACTTCCTCCCTGTTCTTGGAATGAACAGAACCTTCCACCCACTGTTCAACAGCTTCTTCAAGGACACGACCTTGAGAGGGCAGTGTGTTGCTGGGAATACCTAGACCATATGTAACTGGACCCTGTTAATGTCGTTGTATAAACTGAATTTTCTGGTGGGAGGCGGTGAAGATCTATTTGTTTTGAGGATGCCCAAGTCAAGTGTGGCATGTAAATTCTCTTGCTTATTTGCCCTCCCAATCTGGAGGGTCTCTCTCATTCTGTGGCCTCACTTTGCCTCTGTGTGTGTGTTGGGGGAGGGACACTCCTAAGGTTGCAAACTGACCAAAGCTTTATAAATTTCCCATATTCCAAACTATCTTGTGTGTTTGTTCTACATTTCCTACCACTTAAATAAACTTCTATGTCTAAAAGACACAGTTCAACATCAATTAAACCCAGACAGAACTGAGTTAAAGCTACATCATCTACTGATATATTATAATCAATGTTTGCACTCTTGTTTTACTTTGGGATGGAGATCAGGAGGAGGACAAACCCAGAAACAGGGCTCTCAGGACAAGTTAGGGAGAGACACAGGGCCCAGGTAGCAGGTGCTGAGGGCCTTGTTCGGGAAGCCCTAGATAGTCCAGCCTCCGTGCCCGGGTGGAGGAGGCACAAGGCCCAGGAGGTGCTCCTGTGATTTGCAAAGAGACCAGGACAGAGCTGAGAAAGGCAGCAAGGGGAAAGCAAAAGCTGTGTTTGCTTTGTTACTCTACTTATATCTGCTTTTATGAGGAGAAGCCTTTATGTAAGGGTCCTAAAAGTGCCATTTAGCATGAGAAGCATTGTCTGCTAGTGAATAACAAGCAATGCACACTCCAGAGGAATTCCATTATCGGGCTTATGTTGGCAAAAGACATAGGCTAGCTCTGAAATTTAAATACAGAGAGGAGACAAATACAGGGATCGAAGTTCCTGAAGTTTCTATGAATTTCTTTATGTTCATAGAGATTGCACACGCAGCAAACATAGGGCAGATGTTGAGATTTAAAAGTTGGGGCCAGTTTGCATTGCTAGACTTCTTAATTCCTGGAAAGGAGACTCATTATTAATAACCTTAAAGCATTCCTGTGGAAGGGGTGAGACAGGGTGATGTCAGATGCCAACCCATCTGTTAGCTGGTACTGAGTCCCATACAGCGACATCTGATAAAACAGGATGGTTTGTGTTTGTGTGGATAGTACCAAGCTGATTTTGCAGCTTTGTCTCCAAAGCTAAAGGAGCCAGACAAACGTGTCAGCTCCTGCTGCTGTTACTATGGTTGGACCTCCAGTGGAGATAATCTACCTCTTATAGTGGGTCTGAGGATTAAATGTTGTAAATTTTAAAGTGTATGACATGTAAGAATTTAATAAATACTAGTTTTTGTAAAAAAATAAGAGGTAAAGCAGATGTGTCCATGAAAAAAATATTTCTGTGTTCTAAATTAATAGATGAACTTTTTTTTTAAAAAAAGATTTATTTATTTATTTATTTATTTATACACGCACTGGGTACAGTCAGAAGCACAGTAGGGTGAGAGAAATCACCAGAGCCAGAGCAGGGAGCAGAATAGGCAGACTGACGAAGTGCACTGCTGAGGGGAGCAGTGGGTGGCAGGAGAGGTCTGCACGCCATGTGGGACCCTCACCTGGTGGCCGGGGATTGAACCGGCGCTGCAGAGGCTGCGGGCAGCTTTGTAGCCCAGTGCTCAACTGCTGCGCCACCAGGGGATGAACTTTTTTTTTTTTCAATTCTGCAGGATACTATGATTTTTAATATATCCCATTTTAAAATTGAATACTTTTTGATTTGCAATGTCTTTTCAAAGAAAGGAAATTGAGCATTATGAAGGTGTTTAATCTTAGTAAATTGTGACTGCATTCTCATGAAAATAAGACTTTCTTCCATGAGAAAAAGTCATGGAATTTTTCTTTAAGGTGAGAATAAATATTTTTTATAGATTTATTTATTTATGCATACATAGAAGTGGGGTGTAGGCCAGAGAACAGGTGGATCTACTGAAATACTCTGCTGAGGGGGAGCAACGGGTGAGACAGGAGAGGTCTGCTGCGCCATGTGGGTCGGCTTCCTGGCTGGGGATCGAACTCGTGTTGCAATGGCTGTGGATAGCTTCATAGTGCTGTGACTTAACCCCTTGAGCCACCAGGGAGGGCCGAGAATAAATATTTTACATGACATCGACACTCAGATAATTTATTTAGCTTAGCGAGGACTGAAGCCAGTACTTGGAAAACTTCCTACAATAAAATGTTTTCACAAGCAATCTATTGAAAAGTGTCTTCTTAAAACTTTCTGTGATTTTAACGAGTAACATGCATATGACCAAAAACACAGTATGTGTAAGAGAAGTGAATTTACAAAGATTGATTCCCAATGTATCAATTGATTTGATAAGTTCCTGATGCTACGGAAGTCATGTGAAATGAAAGGTAACAGGATGCTTTATTTGCTTCCAGATTTTCAGACGATGCTGGTTGGTTTTCAAGAAGGCTTCTAGTAAAGGACCCAGAAGGCTAGAGAAATTTCCAGACGAGAAGGCTGCGTATTTCAGAAACTTCCATAAGGTAAGGCAGCCTTCAGAATCCCTGGGAAAGAGCCTGGTGAGAACTTGTGAAGGTGTTTCTTTTGATAGATGAAATCAGCAGAGGCAGAAATGCCAGGCTGGGATGAAATGTCCCTGTTTTGACAAAATGTAAAAGGTCTTTTCCCCCTTTATTTTAATCATCTGCTGCAAATGCTAGTGGTACCTCTGCAAAATGACTCATATTTTATTGCTACTTTGCAAAATGAAATGACTCATAACTCAACCAGATCATTTTCCAAGGTGCTGAGTAGGCATTTTCGCCCTGTTGAGGTTAATTGTGCATTTGTTACTTTGATTTAAACTGGGGGCGATGTTGGGGAGATAAACCTGGAGGCTGCCCTCTGTGGGGCTGGTGACACGGGGGTGCACAAGCATCTCCTTGCTGACAGTCTGTGTGTAGAACGGGGGCATAGATGCTATGGCTGAAATAGCAGTTTCTTAAGAATTGAACACAGGTTAAAAAAAAATAGTAACCTCGCAATGATATAAATGGATGGCCTCAAGTTATCTTTGGTGAAACATCAAACCCCAGTGAAACATTTTATAGTAACCTGGAGAATTCAGGATCTGCAGAATTACTTGGTAAAATACCTGAAAAAGATCAGCCAAGATTCTGACTTCTCGTGGCGGTGACAGAGAATATTCCCCTGAATCATTCTTATAATGGATTTGAGGGATTTATTGTATGTGATATGTAGTATTAATTCCTCCTTTTATTTTAAAATAGAATGCTCGCCAGACTGGCTTAGAAGAGATGTCTAGGCAGAGCATAGGCAGGGGGAGGACAGTGGATCCCCTGTGTGTTGCCACAATGGTGGACACATGTCAGTATCCATTTGTCCAGCCGACAGCAAGTACAGCACCAGGAGTGAGCTTTAATGGAAACTGTGGACTCTGGGTGATTATGATGTGTCAAAGCAGATTCATCAGTTGTGAAAAGCGCACCACTCTGGAGGGGGATGTTGATAATAGGGAGGCCTGCGTGTACGGGGACCGGGGATCTGTAGGAAATCTCGGTACCTTCAGCTTGGTCTGCTGTAAGACCAACACTGCTCTAAAAAATGAAAGTGTACTTTAAAAATAGATTATCCTACAATAAAGTGCTAACCCCTCCTATTACACAAGTGGCCAGCAGCCATTTAATTATATTTGAACCTGCATCAGAGAGCTTCAACCTTGAGCTTCATGACTCTACAAGGTACGTTATAGGTTAATGTAGATTTGCTGTCAGACAATGCAAGCTCAAGTTCTGATCCAGTTACTTACTAGCTTGTAGATTTTAAAATTATTATATCGTATGTCTCTTTTGAAGATTACTTGAGGTAGGTTATTAATGAGTAAGGTTGTTCTGACTGTAGGAAAAATTATTTGAAACTTAAGGTCTTACTAATTGTGATTATGATTTGGGGGGCAATTTTAAACCTGATTGAATGAGGAACTGAGAGGTTGTGGAACACGAATATGTGACCTTTAGTTTCTGAGTGAAATCTTGAAAGAAGAGTGCATTGTATGTCCCAGGAATTCCTGATGAGAAGCCCTGCACACGGGCAGGATGGACACACCCTGGGTGCTCCCTGGACATGCACTTTGTGTTTGTATTCTCTTTTGTAAACCGACACTGTCCCCAAGGGGGTGAAGGTGGATCAGTGAAAATACTGCAGTATTGTAACCACCTGTAAGGATTAGTATTTGGACAAACATGGGCAGGTTCTGGTGTCTGCACTGCACATGGACTGGTCTGCACCAGGGACTCAAGGAGCCCTGAGGCACAGCCTTGCCCTGGAAGCACTTGAATTCCAGTGGGAAAAACATACATATGCATAGAAGTTCAATCCAGCAAGAGCAAGTGTCAGCAAATTAACACTTGACTTAATTAAGTGTTAATGAGTATTATTAAATGTTAATAAGTGTTACTAAGTGTATTAAATGTTAGCTGTTAATAAATTAACATGTAAATAAACTGAAAAGGGTTGAAATCATGTAGAGTATGTTCTTTAACCATAAATGATTCAAATGGGAAATCAATATATATATATATATATATATATATATATTACCTAGAAAACTCTGAATACTTGGAAATCAGAATATTCCAAAGGACAATATTCAGCGGACAGTGTTAAAGTCACAAAGGCTATACACAGATATTCTGAACTGAAAGCTAGAAAAGTACAAATATCAGCATGTGTGGAAGATAGTGAGAACACTGAGCATAAGGAAACATATAGTTTAAATTCTTACATTACACAGAAACAATAACAGGAGAAAATGATTTTTTTTTACAATGAAATAGAGAACAAAATAACCCTAGAGAAATTTGCAGTCAAAAGCTGTTTTTTTGGAAAAAAAAAAAATCAATTGAAAAGCCCTTAGCCCAACAAATAAAGGAAAAAAAAATAAAACAAATCAAAGATTTGGAACAGTGGAGGAGTCATCACTACAGATTCCATGGACATTAAAAGAGTGTGCTGTGAGCAAATATAATTCAAAACATTTGACAACTTCAGTGAAATAGACTCCTTGAAATACCATCTACCCAAACTCATCCCGTAGCTCAATGTCTAACAAAAATTCTGTTTAAACCTTCCCTCCCAGAAACCTTCAGATCCACATTTCACTTGTGAAAACTCAGTTTACTTAAGGAGAAAACAAGAATTCTTAAGGAAAACTAAAAAAGAGGAAACCTTTCCAACTTACATCCAGACCAGCAGTACCTGAAAACCAGGACTAGACAAAGACATTAGCGGAAAGTGGCAGACCACTATGCCTACAACCAGAATTTCTTAATGAAACATTAGAGATCTAATTCAACAATATGTTAAATTGATAAAAGGTTGTTTTGACATTTGCGAATCAATCAATATAACAATATGGAATAAAATAGAAAGTATATTAAAGGAGTCTTTGAATAGATACAGAAAAAGGATTTTACAAAATCTGACTTTCATTTGTGATTTAAACTCTCTCCAGAAATGAAGAATGGAGTGAATTCCCTTAAACAAAGAAAGAACATCTAACAAAATCCTGCAGAAAAGAATTAGGAAAGCTGTTTCTATTCTCAATGACATGAGATTTTGTTGAAAATGCTTGTTATCTTCAAAACAAGTTAGCAGAAATAATGAATGAATTTAGTGAATGATATGTTTATATTCAAGAGCATTTTAAATAGTATCAGCTAACACTTGGTAATTTCATTTAAACACTTAATTTATAGTGTCAACAAATAATTATGAATAAATTTATCAAAGCATATATAAAACCTGTACACTGAAAAAACAGGACCTACTTAAGACAATTAAGGATGGAGGATGCAAATAAATGGTGAGATATGAATATTCTTAGATTGGCAGATTCAATATTAGGATGTCAACTCTCCCAAGATCTACTTACATTTGATAGAATTCCAATAAAATTTCTAAGAGTCTTTTTTTTAGATATTGGCAATCTCATTCTATATGAATATCTGTATACCCTATATCAGCTAATGTGATTTTAATAAAGAAGCACAGGGTTGGAAGTGTTCCATATATATATTGTTTTGCCTGATCCTTTGGTATCTCTAGACTCTACATTTAAGTGAAGCCATCCAGTATTTATCTTTCTCCTTTGGCTCCTTTAGCCTTTGACAAAGGCAAATAATAAAGATAATGAACATCATTAGTTGTCTGTAAAATTTAAATTTAGAACGAAAGAAGATACCACTACCCAACTATTCATTGGTCCAAATTGTAAAGATGGAAATTAACTTAGAATAATGCTTCCAGTTCCATACATGTTTCTGCAAATGGCATGATTTTATCTTTTTTGATTGTTGAGTAATATTCCATTGTGCATACAGACCACATCTTCTTGATCCACTCATCTGTTTTGGGGCATTAAGATTGTTTTCACATTTTAGCTACTTAAATAGTTATGTTATAAACATAGGAGTGCAGGTTTCCTCTCAAATTAGTGTTTTTGTGCTCTTTGGACAGATAGCTAGAAATGGAATTGCTGGGTCATATGGTAGATCCATTTTTAGTCTTTTGAGGAATTGTCAGACTTCTTTCCATAGGGACTATAGCAAATTTAAAAGCTTCTGTACGGGGAAAGAGACAGTGATCATTGCATTTTGACAAAGGTAAAAAGACAACTCAATGGAATAGAAAATTCTTTGTCCTGAGAATGGTACCAGAATAAGTGGTTGTGTCAACATAAGTAAGTAAACATTGCTCTTGCCTCACACATACACATAAAAACCTCAAAACAGATCATCAGTCTAAATTTAAATGCTAAAGCTATAAAGCTCCTAGCAATAAATCGAGTAGGAAAACTTTTCCACATTGTGATAAATATTTCTCAGGACACAAAAAGTATGAGCAGTATTGAAATTTAGAACTTTTTCTCTTCAAAAGGTCCAATGAACAAAATAAAAAGGCAAGGGAAAATTATGCAAGCATATATCTAACAAAGAACATGCATCCAGAATGCTGAAAGGCTTCTTACAACTCAGTAGTAGTAATAAAAGCCTTGTATTTAAAAATGGACAAATGTTAACAGACATTTCCCCAAATAGGATTGAGAAAGGCAAATAATAAAGATAATGAACATCATTAGTTGTCTGTAAAATTTAAATTTAGAACGAAAGAAGATACCACTACCCACCTATTCAATGGTCCAAATTGTAAAGATGGAAATTAACTAGAGTGGTTAAAAATGGGGACCAACTAAAACTCGTATGGCTCATGGCAAGTCAAATCAGACCAGCATCTTGTAAAACTGAAACTGTTAGTTTCATTTAAAAGTTATGCATCTGTTTAACTTCTAGGAATTTATCCCCCAGCAAATGAATAGCCACGTTCAGATGAAGATATGTACAGAAATGTTCACAGCTGTAGCTTTTATTCAAAATAGCCGAAACATGGAAACAACCCAGACGGGGAAATGAATGAACTAATTGAAGTATATCCGTCAATGGACTATCGCTGAACTAGGGGAAGG